AGTAACAATTACTGGTATATTAAGAGTAACAATTATAAAAAACGACTTTTTTGGCACAATAATAAGTAAAATTATTTAATATAACTTACAGCCAACTAGATTCAGTAAAAGTGTTATTATCATCAGGGCAATTGGTAGGATTTTGCCGTGATAACGGCAACACGTTTACCGAAGCTAGTTGGCTGTAAGTTATATTAAATAATTTTACTTATTATTGTGCCAAAAAAGTCGTTTTTTATAATTGTTACTCTTAATATACCAGCACAATGTGCCTTAAAAATAATGATGATATATTTCTTAACATGATATGATATGCACGTGGCTAGTGCTCAACCAATGACTGACCTTCATAGAAGTCGTAGGTACACATGGTCTTTCCCATCACGATATTGTAGTCGGGAAGTTGTTCTTCTCCAACAGCTTTCAGTTCTTTGGCCAGTTTCTTGTCCAGCACAGCTGGTCGTTGTACTACCTCTCCCAGCACGTGCTACAAAAAAAATGAAGACAAAATGGCGCCTTATTCCTGGTTGTTAATTTCAACTGATTTGATTGTCATCTCACGTTCTTGTTGTTTATTCAACTCTTGAAGATTATCTTCATTCATTTCGTGATGTTACAAAAAGTAGTGATTTTTCCAATTATTGTGGTTTGCAAAGAGACCACCAGGATTCTACACGCTACAATATCTACACATCTAAGCTGCTGGTCTTATTACAATCTTCATTACTATCTAAATCTCTTTATAATAACTTAACTGCATAGAATAGGAATAATTGAGGTACATGCGAGAACGTAACTTTTTAAATATATAGTGACACGTGTGCGTGACTTTATAAAGTATGTGGCGATATGATACGTGTATGTGAATCTTTACAAGCATGGCACTACCTATATATGACTTTTTATATGAATTTGCTGTTCTGTTCATAGTATGTTTATAAAATTAAGATAAGTTGCCCTTAGCAACTGACCAGGGAAGTAAGCAGATCGTGAACTGTGAAAATTAGCATCTGACCAGGGAAGTAAGCAGATAGTGAACTGTGAAAATTAGCACTTGACCACGGAAGTAAGCAGACAGTGAACTGTAAAAATCAAAAACTGACCAGGGAAGTAAGCAGATAGTGAACTGTGTAAGTCACAAACTGACCAGGGAAGTACGCGAAGAGTGCTTATGAAGGAGATGTTCAAATAATAGGAAGTGAACAATCAGTGCTACATAAGGTGCCCTGTATAACATTGTTCAAAGTGGTTTTTAGTTAGAATAATTCTCATACCTCCAATCCAGATTTGCTTTATAATTCAGTCGACAAGCCGAACTATTTTTCTATATTTTTATCGCAATAGTATCCTGGTAGAATTCACTTACGCTGTCGCGGGAGTTACCGCAGTTGTATTCTGAACTTCCAATAATCGTCTGCTTTTTGTACTTCCAATAATTGTCTGCCTCTTGTCAAAGTCCACACAGGCGGGTGTAGTTAGTTTAGAATTCCCTTTGACAAAAAAATATTATCCTTATCTTTTTCAAAATGTTAATCTTTCAACCGTTAGGCTATTCACTCCCACGACGGGTTAACTTTACGTTTTTTAACTTTTCCCTGATCGAATTTCTCTTTCACGTGACTTTACCTTTACTCTGTTTCCGCTCGTCTGGTCGTAGCTACTTATACGTTTATTACTTAGGCCTTCTAGAAATCTCCATAGCCTCGACATCAATGAATCACAAACACAAAATCAATTAATTAATAATACTACGTGCACTAAACAGTCTTCTATATCTGACATATGAACTAAATATTAGTCTATATTTCATTCATAGTTTGGATTATATCATATGAAAACATGATCTGTAAAAATACTAAACTCGGTCTCTCTTTTTGTTGTTAAACACAAAGTTCCATGATGGGCTATCTATGCTGTGTCCATTGCGAATATTGAACCTCGAATTTTAATGTTTAACTAACAGCTGAACCATCGGAGGAGGGATACACTACAAATTAGCTCACTTCTTTAAACGTCACACAGGTGTAACTATGTGTCTGTTTGGAATTGAAATTATTTTTAAGAGGAACAAAATCCTCCACCTGAGCCACGAACAGACGGATGTTCATTCTTAAACATTTTATTCATAAGTCACTTACTCTCGAACTCAGTAACATAATTCACTCATTCAGGGTCATTCTCGAACTCAGTCATATAGGTCTCACTCTCGAATTGGAGAGTTATAAGCGATTTACTTTCAAAGTCAGCGCTCATAAGTCAATCACTTTCAAACTCAGTAACCATAAGTCATTAACTCTCAACAAAGATGTTATAAATTGTAATCTTTCCTTCCATGCTCTGTAGCAATGAATCATTAACTCGCGAGCTCACTGACTGTAAGTTTTTCACTCTCGAACGTGGTGATCATGAGTTATTCATTAAATATTTTGTACTTAGGTATTTCATAATTTAAGTTAGCATTTCACTTCAATTCACACTCCGAAAATTTAACTTATCACTTTTAATGTAACTTTTTTTACAGTGACATTAAAATTATAAAAATATATATTTCAAATTTATAAAAGAACTCGAAATCCGACTTATAGATAAACATCGTGATAAAAATGGTGAGAAAAAAAAATGATCGAAAATTGATTAAACGAATATGTTAGACAAAATAACTTAATTACCAGTTCCAGGTAAGGACGCAATAAACCGTCAACAGCGCCCTCTGTAATGACAAGTGTTCCGCCAGGATATCCTTGAAAAATGAAAAGATAAAGAACAAAGCTGTCTATCAAATAAAGAATCTAGAAAAAAAACGAGAGTTTAGTGGAGTAAAAACCTAATATTTGTTTTAAGTCATAAGGGGGGAAAATCACATATTAATTAAGTGAATTATTACAATAACTGACCCAACCTTTAACGTCTTAAAACCTGAATAACCTGTTTTGTGTTTTGGTATAGTTTTAATTTTACACCCAAAAAATAATAATTTCCCAAGAAGAGCTAAAAATAGCTCATGCAACTAGTTCGACAAATTTAGTATTCTCGAACCTCTACTGGACAAAAAGAAAAGAAAAAAAGGCTTCCAGAGATCATCCTCACTAATGTTTGATAAACCTCAAGATACGCCAAGTGGTGAATTGCCGAACGGGCTTGCGGGTAATGACGTCATTTTATTCGTAGTACAACGTCTGTTATCACAGAACAATCCGAGCGGACAAGATTAAAAGTTTTGCAATTGTTTTCACTCTCTAAAAACCAAAACACTTTATTTTAAACATACTCACCTATTCCACCACAAGTTCCAAGACGAATGAAAATAACATCTTTACATCTTGCGTGATACATCAGTTTGATGACCTCGTGCAACATTATGGACAACGATGGAATTCCCATGCCATGCTGTAAAGAAGAACAAATTCAATTTTTAACAGTGTGTTATCTGTAACCTTCCGAAAAAACATAGTTCTGTGTAAAGGTCAATCCTCACATGTTAATAATGGATCATCCACAACTTTTTGTAAGAATATCGTGCTATGTAAAGATCAATCCTCACATGTTAATAATGGATCATCCACAACTTTTTGTAAGAATATCGTGCTATGTAAAGATCAATCTTCACTTGTTAATAATGGATCATCCACAACCTTTTGAAAGAATATTCGTGCTATGTAAAGATCAATCCTCACTTGTTAATAATGGATCATCTACAACCTTTTGAAGAATATCGTGCTATGTAAAGATCAATCCTCACTTGTTAATAATGGATCATCCACACCTTTTTGTAAGAATATCGTGCTATGTAAAGATCATCCTCACTTGTTAATAATGGATCATCCACAACTTTTTTGTAAGAATATCGTGCTATGTAAAGATCAATCCTCACTTGTTAATAATGGATCATCCACACTTTTTTGTAAGAATATCGTGCTATGTAAAGATCAATCCTCACTTGTTAATAATGGATCATCCACACTTT